TATTCTCAAAAATAAAATAAAAGAACTTTAAATCCTATCTAACATTCAACACTGGAACTGGAAGACATTTTAAATATACTAAATAAATAAATATAACAGAAACAAGAAATAAAATGTGTTGCCCTGCGACAGACTGGCGACCTGTCCAGGATGTACCCCGCCTCTCGCCCGGAACGTTAGCTGGAGATAGGCACCAGCACCCCTCCCGACCCCACTGAGGGACAAGGGTGTTCAGAAAATGGATGGATGGATGGAAGAAATAAAATGGACACTGAAATCTTTGAAAACAAAATTTTTCTTCAAAAAAAGGCTAGTTAAGACCAAAGCACCAAACTGAAGACTTTTATCATCCAGTTTTTGTAAAAACAGGAAGAAAAGAGAAAAACTAAAAATCAGGCAAATGGAAATTATTGATCTCATATTAATTTAATTTTTCTCAACAGACTGGCATTCTTTCTGTAATCACAGGATGTCTTTCGACATTGTTGTTTAAGAAATGATCAGTTAATCGCCCATTTAGCAATTATCGTATAGAAATATTTGCTTAGTACTTCAAGGTACCAACTTCTTTTTGTCCAAGCTTTATACAGTAGTTTATATATATTTACAATAAGTCTGAAGAACATGAAACCTGAAGCACAGATGAAGACTAACACAGCTACGTTGGGGGTTTACCATCTGCTGGATGCGATGGAAGCTCTTCCCATGGAAGCTGAAAGCCTGTTCGAACAGAACCTTGTCCTCGATGGTCCACTCGTCTGGGAAAGGCGTGAAATTGGGCAAATCAGCCAGGGACTTCTCTATGTTGTGTTTGTGCCAGAACAGCATACCGAGAGCCTGAATAAAAATCCACAAACACAGATGCAGTGTGTCAACCAACAGCAGATCCAGCAACCGTTTCCCTACATATTAAATAAATAGAAGTTATACTACTGAAACCTATTGTTAGTATGTTGGCTGACATGTTTGCCAGCCTGGTTAAACCTCCTTCAAGCTTATGCAACATGTTAAATTGGAAATAACCATATCTAGCCATTATCTGTACCCTTTTTCTTGAAATAGAAAACTATTCATCAGCAGTGTTGCGTTCAAAATACTTGCTCGACACAAATAATATAAATACAATTTATTTATTTGTTACCTGCTAAATAACAACAATGAATATGTGAATGAAAACAACAAAATAGTCAGATTCTATTTATGTTCCCATTTCCAGGAACTTTGTAGCTGACAGCCATCTTGGTAGGTATCAGTAACCGTCATGACAGTTGCTACGAAGTTGCTATGGACAACATTAAACAAAGCCACATTCTCTTTCTCATGCTAGCTGATCCCGACAGCAGCAATTTGGTTGATGCATCTTTCTCTTGCACACTGGTCAAAAGTGTCAACATACTTTCTTTTTGTGGTTCAGCTAAGCTTTGCCTACCAAAATGGCGGATCAGTGGCGCGAAACACTTCCGGTTCAGAGTATGTACTCTATTCTTTAAGTAGTGTGGGAAATTAGATGAATCAATGGCAATTTGCAGTTGTTCGGATTAGGTTTCAATTCTATACAAAAGCAAACATTTTCCTTATCTTTGCATGAAGTAACAAACCAAAGTAAGAGATGGAGGTGCAGAGAGACTCACCTGCTCCACATTGTAGCCATGCTTCTCCTTTGCAATAGCAATATATTCATCCACTGTGAAGGGAAAGACTCACTGTTAGTCTGGCCTGGAGGCGCGACCCAGGATCTGGATGAGAGGTGTGTCACTTACATTTGGAGTCGACAATGGAGTGATATGGAGACCATACCAGCATCCCACCGCTGTCTTTTTCTGTGTATTTTATGGAACCTAAATGTGGACAGACAACAAAAAAAAAAAAGAAAAATCTCCTTTACAGCTGCTACATACAGTAGATGTAATATTTAAGGCCTCACTGATTTGATGCTAATGTTTAAGGGGGAAAACAAAAACAAATAAAAAAAAATACTTATATCGCTAAGTTATGCGTATTTAATTCCCTTTCTTGATCAATAAAGTATTTTTTAATTTGAATTTTAAGAACAAAGTAAAATATCTTTGAAATTATCAAAAGTAATAATATCAAAATTATCAAAAAATACTTAATTTATCCCAAAAGGAAATTACATTTCTCCAGTAGCAGTCAAGGTTGCAGCAGATTTGAAGAAGCCTCTGCCTTATGACTTGTTGTATGAGAGTCTCATGACAGTCATGACATGCTAACAGCTCAATATCAAAGCAGCAGAAGCGGTATTCCAGAGTAACACGTCCTGGATGACACCATTAGTTGTTGATGCTAATCCACCTCATTTGCTTTTGCCGCTCCTTTTTAAATCTCTGTCTGCCTGTTAGAAAGAGAGATGCTGGAGTAGGGGATATGAGCCTTGCACATTATGATTCATGGTTTGAACTGAGATGTTAATCAGCTGCTCCAAGTAGTAAAAACAATACCTTGTTGCCATGGTTATGTACCATAGCAACTTATAAAGAAAAATCCTTATAACCACAGAGCATCCAAAGCCAATTGGAATAATTGTCCAAAAGAAGACTTATGTTATTTATATAAACCATTTTCATTTTGAGCTTTAAAATACCAAAATTCCCACGTGACTTTATATTTTTGTCCATCTAATTTTTTAAATACTTAATGATTGTTGTTTTGATCAGTTCATCAGTACTCGAGTAGCTTTTTTGTTAACCAAATACTGTTTTTACTCTTACTTGAGTAATTTCTTGGCTACGTTTGACTTTTACTTGAGTACAATTTTTTGGGTACTCTACCCACCTCAGCATAAGATACCTATGACATGAATGGTGAATATATTGCATTTAATTTTTGACCTAGAACTTTTTTTTCTTCACGTGGATTTCCATTCTACGAAATGGCAACATAATATTGGAAATTATTTTAAAGCAGGGTTATAAACTAATTTCAAAGATGAGAACATTTTCTGTTAAACTGGGAATTAGTAGTAACTGGAATGGCTTTATGAGTGATATTCACTTTGTTTTAAAAAAGAGGCTTACCAAACCCAAATTTGGATAATTTAAGAGCAATTTCATTAAATTCATTGCGTTTCCGGACAAGTAGAGGTAGCCTCGGTCTATGTTTACTCCTGTTTAACTTTATTATATCATAATTAATCAAAACTAACAGAATAAATAGATTGAAAGCAATGCATAAACTCTGCAGTATGCTTCATTTAAAGCAGCTTCGGTCTGTGTTCCCCGTCTGTTGACTGAGGCTACCACTATCCGTCACTCGGCGGACACCAGTAAAAACCTCACCGGGCTCAAATTCGGGAATGTTTGCCTGATAATCCGCTCCAACCCGCATTCCAATGTCTGCAAAAGATGAACAAAAACAGTAATTGCACAAGCCGATGAACAAATATTTTTACCAATCAAACAGTCAGCAGGGTGTTCGAGGCTACCACTCACCATGTTCGTCGTCGCTGCCGCTTTCGTCAGAAAAATGTCCGTTAGACGCGTTGGACGGACTTTTAGTCCCGTTTGACCGACCTTTCCCTAAATACTCGGAGCCTTTGTCCATCATCCCCGGCATTTTTGCGATTAAATTTGATCTTTAACGTTCTGTGTCCCGATAAATACGTCAGCTGGAGCGGGACGGATTCGGCTGCGGGTCCCGTACTCGCCGCTCCTTCGGCCGTGTCGCTGTACCGCTTTATACGTTTCTTTACCCAGTGTTTACAGGCACGTTTTATGCTCTGGATAAAAAAATATGTGCGTGGATTTTTGAATAATTATGTTTTAAAATGAAAATAATTTGCCCTAAGGAAATGTATCTTCGTAAGACCTGTAACGGAGGAGGATCTAACTGCTGCGGCGGAAGCTTTCTACGCACAGTCGAGCTACAGTGTGACTCGTTATGTTGGTTGCTAGCTATCACTAATATATCCCTCCGCCTACACTTCTAACCCACACAAACATTTTTAAACCGTAAATTGCAATGAAAAATAACTTTGACAACAATTAAACACACTTTTATTGACTAACACCAAAAATAAGTAAATTATTTCGAGAAGCCACAGCAAATGTTTCAAATGTGACTGATAGTTGTTACGGTGGGTCATCCCTGTAAAATGTGAAAACTAATTTTTCCTATTTTTTATACTATTCTGAAGTTCAGCAGTAAATTTCTAAATCAGAATATATATATTTTTTAATCTGGTTATAATGGTTCTTCTATATCAAACCAGCAGAGGGAGACACAAAACAAAAAGAACCTCATAGTTTGTCTCTTATATTAATTACACCCTATATATACAAATTTTGCAGTTCTAACTTACCTAAATCAGAAAGGCATAATCTAATTTAACATCAGAAAATGATAAAGAAAACTTCTATAAGTCTTTTAAAACAGTGTAAGTCAGGGGTGTTCAAAGTGTGGCCTGGGGGCCATTTGTGGCCCTTGGACTGATATTTTGTGGGCCCCAATTGCAGTTCAAGAATGACACAGATTTGTTCACTGAATATTTTACTTTTAATCAAGGTGAAATTATTACAGACATAATTTTCCAATAATGTTTTCTTTACAATCTAGCTTGTACTATAAGTAGAACCAGGTCTCTACAGGGACTTTTACTGATCATTTATTAGACTCGGCTAAATAAAGCCAGCATTTTAAAAGTGACTCACATCCAGTTCAACCGAACTAAAAAGAATTTGAAACCTATCAATCAATCAAGTTTATTTATATAGCATATTTCATCAACCAGGCAGTTTGACGTGTATTGACTATTGTATTGGTTCTTTTGTCAGAAATGTTCTTCAGGTGATAGAAGGCTGACTTTGTCAATTGTCTTTATGTGACTCTGAAGGTTCAGGTCCATCACTACACCCAGATTTCACACCTGAAAGTTCAATGATAATAACTTCAGTTTTGTTTCTGTTCAGCTGGAGAAAGTGATGGCACTCTCTCTTGCTCCTACAAAAAAAGTCAGGCATTTTTATTTGCTTGATCTTATTTATTTTTTCTTGGCTCATGACGTTTGACTACGATTTTGCACCATGTGACAAAAGATTTGGACACACCTGGAATCTGGTTTCAGCTGTGAAATCCCCAAGTTTTCAAGTCCATGAGATGGCAGAGTTTTGTCTGCAAGCATCACCAATCCATCCATGAACCATTCTTTGAACCATTCTTTGAACTGTTCTTTGAACCATTCTTTGAACTGTTCTTTGAACTAATTCATGGACCGTCAGTAGTACCAGGCATTGTGGAACTGGCTAAGTCTGTTCCATGATTGGCTTTTTGTCCTCCCATCACTCTCTGTTGCTATCAGAAATGCTGAGTTGACCCTCTTTTTTTCAAAGGCCCCAGCCCTGCGCTCACCCTCCCAACCAGAACAGTTTGCGGCATCCTATTATTCCACATAGTTGTTTTTACATCCTGGCTGAACTTTCCTGTGTGAGAGGATCATATATGTGTGTCTGCAAGGACACCAGGGGCATAACCTAACAAATGTGTGGGGTCAATTGGTAAGGATTTCTCTCTCTTCCGTTCTTTGTGTGTACGTAGGAATAAGGTTGTGTACTGACTTGACAGATGGAAGTGATGGAGATGAAATGTGACTTCTTCTAATCAGCTGGCTGACTCTGGATTTTGTTGAAGTGTATTTTGTTCTGTTTTAGTACTAAGATAAGCAAATTTTAATATTACACAAACATTACTTGAGGTGACACGTAAAAGCAGTTTTCAAATAATATTTTATATTTAGGCCACACCAACTTTGGTGTACGTGGAGAAAGTAATTGCCCTCCATATCTACTGATTGCTTGTGCTTGTCTTTTAGAGCACCATGGGAAACTTTTCTACCTTTTTTATTGGGTAATTGTTTGAGTTCAGCCAAATTGGAAGGTTTTTAAGCATGAATCTCTGTTTTAAGATGACTTTTTGTTGAGGTGGATTTGCTGTTTTGCTACAAATTATTGTCCTATTGTGTTACTTAATGTGCTTCAGGTTAAAGTCACAAATTAATTAATAGTTTTTTCAATCAAAAAGTCATCCTGGTTATCCCATTCACATTAAAATGGTTGAGTGTCGACATTATATTTTTTCTAATTTGCTATCTTTGGTTTATGCCAAATGTAATCTTTCAGAAAGTTAATATTTTTTCAAAGAGTTTGGCACAATCAAGTTCTCCTCACCAATGGTTGCCATTTTTCTCATTTGCATAGAAATGCATTTTTAACACTTAATGACTTTGTTTCTCTTCTGTTTTTGTTAGATTTTTTTCAATCGCGGTCTGATGTGTAGCTTTTGAAATACTTTAGTCTACTTTGTGTTGTCAAAGAGGTTCTACTGAAGTTATTTATTCATCTAAATCTGCCCGGTTGTAGATAGGAAAACTGCACCTGAAAATTGGACCAATCAAACTTAATTAATGTCTGAGTAAGTGGGCCATTATATTTCTACAAAGATCTGGATAGCTTTTTTAGAAACTCTAAAAATGTATTTATAGTGGGAAAGTGCTACTAAAACAACGAAATGAAGAAAATTCAACTGTAAAAGCTTTGAATTATGGATCCGAGACGTTGAGTCGCTGAACTCGATCCTTTTGTTTAGATTGTCAAATAAGAAGGTGAGCTAGAGAAAGGGAATGAAGCAAAGCAAAACTGAATATTCACAAGAAGAAGACAAAATGTAATTTAAAATGGTTTTCTGCAGGAAAACAAATGACCAATTTGTGAGAAGAAGAAGGTTTCAGGGAGATAGTTTGATGAGGTTTACATAGGAGTCAAAGAAAGGGAGGGAGTGAGCGGGGGTAGCAGGTTCAGCAGCACAAACAATGTTACCCTCGCTACATTTAACATCAAGCCCAGCAGGCGACAACAATGGCATCAGCAAGGCCCTTCCATCTCTAAACATTGCCAGATTTCTCTTTGGCTGTTTTCAGTGTGCATTACAATAAAAGGGAGGTTTTTCTGTTTTTTATTGTGCTCAGCAGGTAACAACTCTTGCAAAATACAAAGGTTGCGGCTGCAGCAACTTGGCAACCAGCTGCCAGTAAAGTACAGTGCCTTGAAGAAGCGTTTCCGATTGCTTTTGTATTTGCTTCCTTATCACATTTTAGATAATCAAGTGCATTTTAATGTTATATTCAGATGACCTAACTTAGTACAGAAAGCTCTTTTCAAATAACAATTTCCACTGCAATTTGATCCATTGTTGAAAATTATTACCTCCTACATCCAATAAAAACTCTTGAAATTAGCAGAGACCACAAAGCTTTGGCTAAAGTTACCGGTGAGTTTTTTTACATGGCTTTTCAGAAATTGTGACCCTCAAAACCTTTTGAATTTAGCCACTTTGGCAGACTTTAGAGCATCTAAATCATTTTTAAGTAATTACTTTTGCCACTCCAAACCTTTTGTGCATTTTTTGGGCTTGCTGATGCTTTAGATCATTTTTCTCAGCGCTTGAGATAAAAGTCCAATATTCACTTTCATTCAAGTGTTATTTAATATGTGACTCATGTCCTGTTTTACGCTTATCCTGTGAATTGTTTTTTGTCCAGTTCTATGTATTTAAGTGTTTTTCTTTTATAATTTTGTTTGATGTGGTTGACTGTTCTTTTTGTAATTCAGCTTGAAAAGAGCTTTACAAATACAATTTATTATTATTACCCTTTGCCCAAAACTTTTTTCCTCTTCCTAATGGTTTTAGAAAAATATTCTGCTGGCTCTCAGCTGGATGGTGTGTCATTACATTTTTGCCATAAAACTAAAATTCAGCATATCAGAACAGAACAATGGTGAAATGAGCCTTTATGTTCTGTCTGGTTGTATACTTGTTTTTCCATTTTTGCCCAGTCTCTTTCTGCTGAATCAAAACTGATTTCAGTCGAGGTAAATGAGGCTTCCAGTGCTTGAATGTTGCTACAGATGGATTGAAACCTCCTGGAAGAGTTGCTGAAGTCATTATGGAGTTATTTTGGAAAGGTTCCACTGCAACATTTATCTTCATTTGGCCAGATTGGCTCACATTTTGGTTCCTGAAGTCTTAGAAGTGTCTTTATAGCGTTTCCTAGAGTGATTCTGACTTGTTATCATTTACCCTATGTTGTTCGACAGATTATTGTTTGTACAGGTTTGGTAATAATCCTGTGTGGATGGTGAAACTGGTCTAAAAAATCACAACTCATGATTTTAGAAGTTGGCAGATATGTTTCTACATAGTACCAGATTAGTTTGGAAAGCTTTATTCCTTTCAATAAAACCT